TAAGAATTCCTCATATCAGTGAGGTCATATGATACATGTCTTTCTCTGACTGACTTATTTCACTCAGCATAACACCCTCCAGTTCCATCCATGTCGTTGCAAATGGCAAGATCTCATTCCTTTTGATGGCTGCATAATATTCCATTCGTACACAACATCTTTTAACCATCTTCACTTCCCTGTGGTGTCCAGCTCATTACTCCTGTTTTACTATAAAGTCCTTTTAGGGCACAGTCCTCCTAACCCTCCCTGATCCATCCCTCTCGCTAGGTGACCTCAGCCAGACTCATAGCTTCCATATTCCCGTATATGCTGACAAGTTCCAAATTTATACTTCTTCAGCCCAGGCGCCTCCACTTAGGTGTCTAAGAGCTTCTCAAAATTAGCGGGCCCAAACTGGACTCCTGAATGTCCCCAAATCTGCTGCTCCCTTGTCTTTCCATCTCAGTAAACGGTAGCAACATCCTTCCAACTGCTCTGAACAAAATCCTGTAGGCATCCGTGATTCTGCTCCTTCTTTCACCCCATCACCTACCTTGTACTTCCCGCACCCAAACCTGAGTACTCGCTGTCGCCTCTGCTGTTAATCCACCACCCACCATCTCTCCCCAAGATAACCAAAGTAACCTCGTAAGAGTCTCCATGCTTGTAATCTCAACAGAACGGCCAATGATCCTTTCAAACATAAGTCAGATCATTCCATTCTCCTGCTCAAACTGCACCCCCAATGATTTCCTATCTCAAAGTCATGTGAGCATAGCTGCCTTCCAAAGTCTACAAAATCCTGCATGATTTGCCCACCAGCCCCACACCACCTGACCTCATCTCCTACTTTCTCCCTAGCTTCCTCCGCTCCACGTCAATGCCTTCTGTGTGGTTCCCCAAACACAACAGGCAGGATCCAGCCCCAGGGTGTTGTGCCTGTTCCTTTGCTAGAATCTTCCTCCTCCATCTCTGGTCAGCTTCCTTTAGGTCATGCTCAAATGCCACCTTATCAGGAAAGCCTTCCTTGAACATCCTGTAATATGTAGCATTTCTACACACACACACACAATTCCTTAACCTCCTTCCCCACTTGTTGCCATTACCTCCAAAGTACTTGCCAGCTTGTATTATACTATATATTTACTTATTTATGTTTATCTGTCTCCTTGTAATTAGAATGTAAACTTCATGAGGGCAGAGATTTTTAAATATTTATTCACTGTTCTACCCTCAGTGCCTAGAGAGGACCTGGTACAGAGTAGGCACTATTGGATGGATGGATGGATGGACGGATGGATGGATGGATGGATGGAGTCACTTAGGCTCAGAAACAAGCCTAACGAGGAGAAGCCTTCCAGGAGAGAATTTTTGGAACAACTCCATCTTGAAGAGCACTTCTTCCCAGTGGGGGGATAACCACTAATGACCTTTACAGAGAGGTTCTGGAAAGTAGAGCACAATGGCACTCCATTCTCGCTGCCATTCTTCTTAGTTATTTGGGATGCTTGGCCCTGTGGGGAGCTGAGATGGATACTGAGTGTCCTGGGAATGTGGAACTGTAATTGCCATGGGATATGCTCCTTCCTCAAGTTTCTCTCCTCAGGAAATAGAATCTTCACTCTCCAGGCTACTCAAGCTGAAAACAGGAAGTCATCCTTAAAACCCCTCACCCTCATTACACCCCCCTCCATCCAATCCATCAACAAATCCCTTCACTCTGCCAAAATCTCTCTCAAATCCACCTACATTGGCTCTTCCACCACCACCGCAATCCAATCCCTCATCCACATGACCTCATGATGTGTCTCAGAAGCAGATGAGGGTTTGGCAGGTATACAGAATCCAATCAGGCATCTGAGAATGGTGCCTAGTCAGGAAGATCATGAAAATTCAGAATTCAATTATACAGAAAGAAGTGGCTGAAGAAAGTCAGTGATAACCTTAGCAGGCGGTACAAAATTCCATCCACACAGATCACAGAAAAGAATTATGAAAGATCTAAAGGACTGATGGACAGGCATCGGAGCATCTTCAGTGCCAGAGAAGATGGTAATAGATGTCCTAAAGAACGAAAGAAATGACAAAATGTAGCCTAGCCATGAGGAATGTTTGCTATACCCTCCGTAGAGGTGCTGGCTTCTGTCTACACAAGTAACACAGAAGAATCATTTGAGGGTATAATTAGAACCTAGAAGCCACCAACCCATTTTAAAGGAAGTGAACTCCAAGCCTCCTGTTGTCATCTCGACTGAAAATAGAGCTCCATGTACCCAGTCATGGTGGAATGGAATCACCCCTGAGGTGTGCAGACCCAGGTCTCAAGTCTCTTTTGGCCAATAAGCAACCCTCCACTGCTGGGATGGTGATCGGGTGAAGACCACGAATAACTGGCCTAGTAATCACAATGTGTTTAAGATAATAACACCGTACCCTAGTGGGTAAGCCGCAGAATGGTTATAATTAAACATAGAGGGGCGCCTGCATGGCTCAGTCGTTAAGCGTCTGCCTTCGGCTCAGGTCATGATCCCGGGGTCCTGGGATCGAGCCCCACATCGGGCTCCCTGCTCAGTGGGGAGCCTGCTTCTCCCTCTCCCACTCCCCCTGCTTGTGTTCCCTCTCTCGCTGTGTCTCTCTCTGTCAAATAAATAAATAAAATCTTTTTTTAAAAAGGTAGATAGATAGAGATAAAAATCAAAGGAACTTCAAATGGCTTCCTACACAGAACTTCAGTTGCAGATGTGAACAAACTCACACCAACAGAAGTTGTCCTCCTCTCTCGCCCTGATGACCACAGTCGGCTCCCCTTGGGCTCTCCACTTCCATCCTTCGCCCACCCCTCTCCATTCTCCACTGCAGCCACCTGAAAACCCTTCAAGAGCTTCCCATGGTAACTGGAATAAAATCCGAAATCCTTACCCTCCCTGCCAGACGTCCCCATACTAGGGCCCCTGCGTTTCTCCAGAGGCTCATCCTGCCCCACTTGTGTCTGTGCTCCAGCCACACTGACTTTCTTTTGTTACCTCAAATGCTCTATCCTCATTTTTGCCTCAGGGCTTTTACATGTGTTATTCCCTCCCTAGGGTTTCCATTTCACCCACCCTTAGCTGGCCAACTCCCTCCCATCCCAACCTTTAGGTCTCAGTTAACTGGTCCCTCCTTAGGGTGGACTTGGATTAACCCGGAG